TCATTTTTCTGTAGTAACGCGTCATGACCCCTTCTAGATGGGCAGGTACCAAGGGCAAGTTGATGCTGTGGGGATCACACAGGCTTTGAAGTTTTCAGGGCCACCAGGTACACGTGCCAGTGGTGCATCTTCCAAGCTGTACAAGCAGGGGGAGCACTTTGTATCCCCAAACCTTGGGGCCCTCGTTTGATCAAGGCAAGAGGAAAACCTATTTTGCATGGCATTTGCTACATAAATCAAGACATGGAGTAAAAAAAAAAAACCCAAAAACCTGGCAAGAGTTCTTGGCACAGAACAGGTGCTTGGATAGTGGCTTCTGTCATTTTTGTGCATGTTGTTTCAACGGTGGATGTGTCCACAGGCAGGGTTAATGTATCCGGTGATTACGCCATGTCTCTCTTACTAAGTGATCCTGGATCAGTGGCCCCCTATTTGCTTCTCATTTCTGTTTTTAAATGGAATTGTAAGAAGGGCGCCTGGGCCGCTCAGTCAGTTAAGCATCCGACTTTGGCTCAGGTCATGATCTCATGCCTCGTGAGTTCGAGCCCCGTGTCGGACTCTGTGCTGACAGCTCAGAGCCTGGAGCCTGCTTCAGATTCTGTGTCTCCCTCTCTCTCTGCTTCTCCCCTGCTCACTCTCTCTCTCTCTCTTTCAAAAATAAATAACATTAAAAAATGTTTTTAAAAAGGAATTGTAAGAAAGAATTATTGGTGAATCTTCTCAGCTTGCTATTGGTGGGGATAGAAGCAGAAGGTTTAGGCAAATGCATAATAACGCTCTTTATGATGGGATGGGGAATGGGGGAGTGTGGGGAAGGGCAGGTGCCTCTCATTGGGAGTGGGAGTGGGGGGTAGGGGGTGAGGAAGACTTTCATTCCATGTTTTCCTACGGGTCCATGTTTTTTTTTTTAATTTTTTTTAATGTTTTTATTTATTTCTAGGAGAGAGAGAGAGAGAGAGAGAGAGACAGCGTGAGCAGGGGAGGGTCAGAGAGAGAGGGAGATACAGACTCTGAAATAGGCTCCAGGCTCTGAGCTCTCAGTCAGCACAGAGCCTGACGCGGGGCTCGAACCCACGAACCGCGAGATCATGACCTAACTGAAAGTCGAACGCTTTACCGACTAAGCCACCCAGGCACCCCGGTCCATGTTTATTTTTAGAAGAAGAAGTTTTTCTTGCTTTGAGCTCCAGACCCACCTGCCTCTGATTGAGTTCAGCAACTATCTGCTAATGCCCACCAAAACATACCAAGAGTTACCATTTGTCAGCACCGAAAGCACTTTCCATACTTAACCTCTAACCCTCAGCTCCCTTGGGAAAAGCCACCTCATTTTACAGATGAGCGCCCCAAGCCGGGAGAAGTCCCATCACTTGCTCCAGAACTTCTAACTTGCAGAGGCGAGAAGAGCCAGACGTTTTCTCTGGGAGAGGTAGAAGGATATGAAAGAAACCCGAAAAGTCTCTACCCTCAAGGACCCGACAATGAACGTGGAAGGTTAACTGGCAGACACAGCGACGCAGACACATGCCACGGTGGCTTCTTTGCAGAGCGCTGCTGTGGGGACAGAGGACAGATGGCCGATTCCGGCTGGGGGACGGGGAGTCCGCCTAGGGATGGCTGTGCTCAGTCTTGCAGGATGTGTTCATTTTGGAGGGGGCAGGCAGTGGAGCATGGCCCGCAGGCCTCTTTCCGGCAGTCAGGAGACAGGGACCCCAGTGGGAGGAAAGGTGGCCCGAGCTGTGTGTGTCCTACGGCCCTAAGGTCTTTGGGAGGAAGGGACTGGCCAGGACTCGGGGGCTGAGGCAGAGCCCCATGGCATAAAGGAGGGCAGGGACAGTGAAGGCAGACAGGGACTTCCTGAGTCTGAGGCCCCCGTGGGGCGGGGTAAGCCACAGCCACGAGAGCCCCCAGCAGGGGCGCGATGACCTGTCCCCCCAGTGGAGGGGCGCCAGCGCATTTCCATCAGGAGCTGGGGGACTGGGGATCTGCTCTCAGGAGCCGCCTACTGGGGGGACCGGGGGAGGCCAAAGCCTGGGGCAGCCAGTCCGCCGACAGCAAAGAGCAGGAATGACGGGGGAGGACGGAGCGGCCCGTCGTCCCAGCGGGTTGGCAGAGCTCGGCACGAGGGGCCAAGATGCTAGAAGGGGGCGTGGAAACAGCCAGTGAAGGGTTTCTGCTGCCAGATGCTCAAGTGTGGGCACTGAGAGGCGATTGTGTTTGAGCCCAGGAATCCCGCCACCAAACCTACAGCCTCTCTCACTAGCATGTGAGCCTCTGGAGACAAGGAGTCTGTCTCGTGTTTCGTAGTGTGTCCTTCCCGGCACCTCGCACAGCGTCGGCCACCGAGTAGGTGCTCCATCAGCGTTTTGCTCAGCATCTGTATAAAACCATAATCTGTAGGGTGTTTATGGGTATGTGCATACGTGGTAACCAGTATTTTTTAGTTTATTCACTTATTTTGAGAGAAAGAGAGAGCACAAGTAGGCTCTACACTGACCTCGACCCCACAGGGCGATCATGACCTGAGCCGGAATCAAGAGTCAGATGCTTAACTGACTGAGCCTCCCAGGTGCCCCTATTCTTAAACTCTGATGAAAAGAATACTCACTATTGGCCAAGGTAGGGGTTACTTTGGGGGAGAGAGGAAACGAGGTTGACGTAGAGTAGGAAAAGGTCAGACTTCATCTGAGTCTGACTTTCTTTAATAAAGAAGAACTGAAGAGAATATGATTCAGTCGGAATGTTTGTTCCTTCTGAGTGCTGGGTATATGGGCTTCTCTTATATTGTTATTTATAATTTTAAAATATTTCTTGTATTTTTAATGTATCTTTATTTATTTCTGAGAGAGAGAGAGAGACAGCATGAGCAGGGGAGGATCAGAGAGGGAGATACAGAATCTGAAGCAGGCTCCAGGCTCTGGGCTGTCAGCACAGAGCCTGACATGGGGCTCGAACCCACGAACCGTGAGATCATGACCTGAGCCAAAGTTGGACGCTTAACCAACTGAGCCACCCAGGCACCCCTTAATGTATTTTTTAATGTTTATTTTTGAGAGAGAAAGACAGAGTCACGTGTGAGCAAAAGAGGGGCAGAGAGAGGGGGACAGATGATCTGAAGCAGGCTCTGTGCTGTCAGCACAGAGCTCAGTGTGGGGCTTGAACTCAAGAACTGTGACACCATGACCTGAGTTGAAGTCAGACACTTAACTGACTGAGCCACCCAGGCTCCCCAAAACATTTCTTGGTTTTAAAAAGAAAATAGAGACATCTGGGTGGCTCAGTTGGTTAAGCATCCAACTTTGGCTCAGGTCATGATCTCACAGTTTGTGAGTTCAGGCCCCTCATCGGGCTCTGTGCTGACAGCTCAGAGCCTGGAGCCTGCTTCCCATTCTGTGTCTCCCTCTCTCTCTGCCCCTCCCCCTGCTCATACTCTGCCTGTCTCTCTCTCTCTCAAAAATAAACAAACATTTTTTTAAAAATAATTAAAGAAAGAAAAAGAAAATAAATGTGTGCACAAATGCTGTGTTAGATGTATAGAACATCCCTTCTTCAAGAGTAGCTGCAGTGAGCCCTTAGGGCTTCTCAGCGTTACCGACAGGCCTGGATAATTGTTCTTGATGCCCATCCTTCACAGGCCTGTAAATTGTCAGCAGCTCTAGTGAAAGGGCGGCTCGTAGAGAAGTCTTGAGTTCCCTCCTCTTGGTGCCTGTTGTTCAGAGGAGTCGTGTATACTATCCTCTCATAGACCCCTTGGGGGAGGATCTGGACCCTTGTTTCTGGAGGTGTGACATCAGATTAGCTGCGGACCTCCTGGCTCACCCCTCGAGTGTGAGATTACAGGATTGTGGGGTTTGATTCCTGCCGCTGTCGGGGCAAGAAGATACACTGTGCGCTCCGAGCATACGTTTGAGTCCGAGCTCCATGTCCTCCTTGCTGTGTGACTTTCGTCGATTCACTCAACCACTCTGAGCCTCGGTTTGCTCAGCAGCAAAATGTGATGGTTGAGGAGATTCATGAGTGAGCTGATATAGTGTGTGAAGGCGCCTGTGACAGAGCCTCGTGGTCCCTCAACACTCACTAACTGCCATCCCGCTGAGGGCTTCGCGCCACCCCGCCTTCGTTCTCTCTCCTCTCCCCCTAAACCGTGACCACCCCTCAAGGCCCATTCCAATTTAGCTTTTCCTTGAAATCATTGGTCGCAACCCAGTGATGGCTCATGTCACTGGCTGCTTAATAATAGTCAAGTTTTCCATCTGCTTATTTGCTTACGTTTTTGTCCTTAGGTTGGAAAGCTTCTGAAATAGGAACGTCGTTTCAAGCATCGTAGTGGGTCTGACCACCCCACCGGCGTGGGAGGTGGGCGCCCTGGGCTATGTTCTAACACGGGGATCCGTGAAGCTTTGGGGGGGGAACTTCACTTTCATCCCTAAGATGGCAATAATAGCCTCCCTCACAGAGTTTCTAGGAGACTGATTTAGACATTCTGTGTGAGACAGAAATTAATAAATACTGTTGAAATAATTTAAACTGCTTCGAAATATAAAGTTCTTTACAAATGTCGGGGCGCCTGGGTGGCTTAGTTGGTTAAGCGTCCAACTTTCGCTTAGGTCATAATCTCGCGGTTCGTGGGTTCGAGCCCCGTGTCGGGCTCTGTGCTGACTGCCAGCTCAGAGCCTGGAGCCTGTTTCAGTCTGTGACTCCCTTTCTCTCTGACCCTCCCCTGCTCACACTGTCTCTCTCTCTCTCCTAGAAATAAATAAAACATTAAAAAAAACACTTTTTTTAAAAACAAATGTCAGGCATTATATGTCAGGCATTATTTTTAATTCTCCCAAGGAGATTGTAAAAGGCTTTTTATTTACTTGCTGCTAAGAGAAACCGCGTGCGTGAATATTCCCCCATCATCCAGGTGAAGAGCAAAAGAGGCGTTAGTTACACGAGGATTATAAAGTTCACTCTGGTTTTCAACAAAATTTCGTCTCTCTTCTTCCCAGGATCGAGATGACCACAGCCACCCCGTTGGGGGGCACTACCTTCTTCTCACTGAACGTGACCACCAGAGAGCAAGACTTTCTGTACAAGAGTAAGGTCAACTTGGCTTGGCAGCCAGGAGAGGGGTGTTGGGAAGAGGGTCATGGTCAGTTCCTGGTGTAGAAGTCAAGAGCGTGGGCTCTGGAGATGGACTGCCTGGGTCTCAGTCTCACTCTTCCATATGCCCAGTATGCGCACTGCATGACCCTGAGCACATGACCTCTTTGTGTCTGATTTTTTTTGTCGGTAAGATGGGGATATTACTGAAGCTACCACGTAAGGTAGGTGGGAAGACCAAACAATGTAATCCGTGTTAAGAGCTTAGAATAGTCTTGATGCACACGAAGTACCTGATGAGTATTATTATTATCCTTACTGCTACTACACTTATTATCATCAGGGAGTTTGGGGATCTAGAGGGCAATGGACATTTGACTCTCATATAAGATCTCTCTAAATGAGTCCCCTTACAATGTAACTACTTTCACACCATTAGTGTAAGGTGAAAACATCCCATCGATGCACAAGGGAGTCAATGAGTGTAGCTGGGAGTAGTCTGGGGAGACGCCTGCCAGAAATGAGGGGTCCCCAGAAGGAAAAACTTGACCACCACTCTTCAGAAAACCAATTAATTGTATCAGGGGAAGCTGGGCCCATTTCTGTCATTTCCGTGGATCTGGAATATGTCTCTGCCCATAGAACAGGGTCCCAACACCGAAGTGTGTCCCCAGCAATAACAACCCCAGACCACCGTCCTGGCAGGAAGCTGATACTGGCAGGATGTGTCTCTTCCATGGAGACCCAGAAAGTGTCACTCTTGGGACCTGGTCCCACGGTAGCCGGTGGGAAGACCTACAGAAACCTGCGGACGCATTTCAAAACAGCTCTCAAGGGAAATGGAGGGTAGCTAGAATCTGTCAGCAAATGGGAATAATTCTGCTTTTATTTAACTACAAGTAATGATTCTCAACTAGGCGATTTTGCCCCTTAGATAAGACTGCCAGATTTAGAAAATAAAATACAAGACACCCAGTTCAATTTGAACTTAAGATAAATAATATTTGGGGGCGCCTGGGTGGCTTAGTGGGTTAAGCGTCCGACTTTCCCTTAGGTCATGATCTCGCGGTTCGTGGGTTCGAGCCCCGCGTCGGGCTCTGTGCTGACTGCCGGCTCAGAGCCTGGAGCCTGTTTCAGAGTCTGTGACTCCCTCTCTCTCTGACCCTCCCCTGCTCACGCTGTCTCTCTCTCTCTCTCTCTGCTAGAAATAAATAAAACATTAAAAAAAAAAGATAAATAATATTTGTTTAACTTAAGGACATGCCAAGCAATATTTGAGACATACTAAAAAATAATTCATGATTTATCAGAGGTTCTCATTTAAGTAGGTATTCCATAGTTTATCTGGCCACTCGACTACCAGGGGACATTTGACAATGTGTGGACACTTCAGCCTGTAGGGAGGGAGAAGAAGTGTCATTGACATCTAGAGATGTTGCTAAATATGCTACCGTCCACAGGACAGTCGCCGTAACAAAGGATTATCCGAACAATGCTGAAAAACCATGAACTAAAAGTATCATCACCAGGCTCCCCAGGAAGGAAACAAAAACAGTGATCGATTCTCCACCCCAACCCCTCTTTCTTTCCCTCCAGTCTTTCTTACTGTGAATATTTGCACATAGTCTTACCTTTGTTTTTGTTTAGTAAACCTTTTATAAGAGCATTGAGTACATTCCAAAAAATGCACGAATCATAAGTGCGCAGCTGGATGAATTTTCACAAAGTGGACACGCTTGTGTAACTGGCCCCCAGATCGAGAAACGAACTACCACCAGTATCCCACAAGCCCCAGCGCCCCGTGCCGCTCTGTCCCCACCTGCTCCAGGGAAGCTGCTGCTCTGATTTCTCACACGCGACCTTAGTTCGGCTTGGTTTTGAGCTTTATGTAAATGGAAACATACCATATGTACCCTTTTGGGTCTGGCTTCTTTTACTCAACATTATGTTTGTCGGTACATTTTTTAATGGTTGCAACATAAGGCGTGTATGTGGGTGTGTATCATATTCTGTTTTCCACACATCATTCAAATTATAGTGTGTGGGTGTGTATCATATTCTACTTTCCACACATCATTCAAATATAGTGTGATATGAGCTAGGCATGCCACACCTTATTAAACCAGTCCTGTATCTAGAATATAAGTAGTGATGTAATTAACATCATCATTCATATGGCTTTTTCTGTATTTAGGATTATTCCCTAAGATAAACTCCCCAGAATCAAATAGATTGGCTTAAAGTCTGACCCCCCCCTTTGTGGGGGGAGGTTGTATTTCAATATCAATTCTGACAAGGATGTTGATCTTGAACATGGAATTAGAGCTGGACATTGGAACCGGGCATTCATATTGAAATTAGAGTCTGAGATATTAAGCTCCAAGGACATTCCCCATAGCCTTGTTTTTAATAGTGTAAAATTGAAAACAACATAAATCTTCTCAGTACAGAATTGGTAAACAAACCGTGGCACATCCAAACAATGGAGTGCTACATGGCCATCAAAAGTTGTGGGAAAAAATGTAATTACGTGGAATGATGATCAGGATATTTTTGTAAAACTGTGTATGGAACATGGTTCCATTTTTATCAAGTGCATGTTCTTCCACTTTTATGACTGTTTCCTTGAGATGGATTTTCAGACATAGGATTAACACCGTTATTCAAAAATGATTGGTAGATAGGTATTTAATATGCATATATGCATATACATGATCACCTCGGGGAATGTCCACCTGTGTAGATGATGAGCAGTTCCCCGGGGTGATGAGTTCTTTATCCTCCCCCCACCCTTTTTGTGCTTGTATTTATATTTTCAAGATACAACTACAAAAATCACATATTAGTTTTGTATCATCAAGAAGAGGGAAAGGCGTTTTGCTTGCCTGTTTTCAGTTTGCACGTTTGCCATTTCCACCCCTCTCCTCGTAGGCTCTGGAGCCATCGTTGCTGCCATTGTGGTCGTTGTCATTGTCATCTTCACCGTGGTTCTGATCCTGCTGAAGATGTACAACAGGTACGGGATGCCTGGGCTCTAGATGGTCTTGTCCCTTTGGTGATGTCAGAATGAATGGGAACTGACACTGTGGGCACCAGTCACGTGCCCAGCAGTGTCCCTAAGTCTATCGTCAAACGCTCTAAGCCTTTGAGTGTCCTTTTTTGACATGTGTTCTGCTGTAGGAACTTCATAGTAATATTTTTGTATCTGGAGAAATATTATTTTAAATACAATAATCATAATGACAATGATAATGGCTTGTGCACTCTGGGAAGCCCTTGTATGTAACTTACAGTGATAGAGGAATATTTCAATCCTTTTCTCTCAGGGAGCCTTCTGCTAGGTTGTGTGGAAGAGACTATGTAAGTATTTGAGGTTTCAAATACTAGAATGCCTGTACCCTCACCACCACTTTCTGGGAACAAATGAGACAAAATATAGTTTGGTTTCATAAAGAATGGATGCTGGGGCACCCAGGTGGCTCAGTCGGTGAAGCGTCCGAATTCAGCTCTGGTCACGATCTCCCGGTTTGTGGTTTCGAGCCATGTGTCAGGCTCTGTGCTGACAGCTCAGAGCCTCGAGCCCGCTTCAGATTCTGTGTCTCCCTCTCTCTCTGCCCCTCCCCTGCTCATGCTCTGCCGCCCTCTCTCTCAAGAATAAATAAACATTAAAAAATTTTTAAAGAAAGAATAAATGTTGTGTTATCACCTTACATGTTAGCGGCTCTAAGTCACAACTTTGCTAGAAGGTTATTCTTTCCAGGCAAGAAATCAAAATAAAGAGACTATGAATACAGCCACATCAAAGAAGACTAGGAAGCCATTAAAAAAAAAAAAAGATATTGTAGAAGGGTGTTTATTGATGAAGACAATCATTTACTATATATTGTCAAAGTTTACAAAAATAATGTGTATGTTATGATTATACATGTGGATTACACAGATACACTCAAACATTCATAGGATACACAGCAAAGAATTGACAATCAGTGTATCTGCATGATGGGCTTGCTAGCCGGTTGGCTGGTTTTTACAGAGGTGTAAACATGCATTGTTTCTATAATGTTAATGTTATTTATAAAACATGTTATATGTTTTATATTATATATTATGTATATAGTATATATATATCATATATATCACATATATAACATATATTGACCTCTTACTACGTGCCAGGCATGATTCTAAGCTCCTTATGTGTATTAACTCATTTAATCCTTACAACAACCCCACAAGGAGGTAATTCTATATCCCCCAATTTTGTGGGTGTGACACAGGCAACAGGAAATGAGCTAACTAGCCCAAGTTTATGCTCAGCCCTCTGTGACAGAGTTGGGATTCAAACCCAGTACATGTGATTTCACAGAAAATGCTCCCACCACTACATGTAATAATAACAACACTTAATAGGTTATTATTAATATGGGGGGGGGTGGTATTGCAATGTGGATCCATCCCAGACCAGGAAGTGGCATCAAACCACCATGTCTGCCCTTCATTCCTGTCCATCATTGCTGGCGCTCTGAGCCTGTTTTCTGGGTTATGATTTTGAAGCGACTCTAGTTATCTGTTTACAGTGATGCCTGGGCTGAAATTCAGAGATCAGCATTCAGTCTTTGGTCTCTTCAAGGAAGCCAAGTCATTTAACCTCTCTGTGCCTTGATTTTGTCATCTTTATTTTTTTAAGTTTATTTATTTATTCTGAGAGAGAGAGGGAGAGAGCAAGTGAGCAGAGGAGGAGAAGAAAGAGGGAGAGAAAGAGAATCCCAAGCAGGCTCCACACTTTCGGCATGGATCCCGATGCAGGGCTCAAACTCACGAACCGTAAGATCATGACCTGAGCCGAAATCAGGAGTCTGGTGCTTGATGACTGAGCCACCCAGACGCCCTTGTTTTTTTAAAGTCGGAGGGTCTCCAAGTGTGATAACTGAGTGGAGTGGTGATTGCATGGAGAATGCCCTTGTTTTGAGAATATTTAGGGAGGGAGTGGTATGACATTTGCCACAAACTCAAATGGTTCATGACTTGAAAAAAAAAAAACCCGTGCGTGTGTGTAAATAGAGGTGGTGGGGAGAGAGAGAAGGTAAGTGTCGCAAACTGCTAGCAATCAGAAAACTGTTCCATGAAGGATATTCAGATACTGATTATACTGTTTATGCAACTTTTCTGAGCCTTTGAAATTAAAAAAAAAAAAAAAAAAAAGAATTAGGTCAACAAGATCAAATTTCATGCAGACATTAGAGCTGATGATTGTTGGGGTGTCTGGGTGGCTCAGTCGGTTAAGCGTCCGACTTTGGCTCCAGTCATGATCCTGCAGTTCATGGGTTCGATCCCCGCATTGGGCTCTGTGCTGACAGCCAGCTCAGAGCCTGGAGCCTGTTTCAGATTCTATATCTCCCTCTCTCTCTGACCCTCCCCTACTCATGCTGTCTCTCTCTCTCTCTCTCTCTCTCAGAGAAATAAATAAAACATTTCTTTAAAAATTTTTAAAAAAGGAACTGATGATTGTTATCAGTCATTGAATTTTCTGGCATATAAAAGGAAAGACTGGATATACATTTTAAGCCCACTCTTCTCAGCTACATAAAAAGGTCTTAAATATTTCTAGCAATAAACCTAGGAAGCACAACGAAACTGCAGAATTTAACCCACACTACAACTCTGGACAGAAAAAAAAATGTAACATCTTCATTTTTCTCTAATGTAGTCACCTATCTGACACCATTCGTTAACAGGAAAAATTAAGTATCTAATCTGGGTTACACAAAAAAAATGGAAGGGTCAGACTAGCTGATGTCTAAGGTCCCTCCCAGTTGTAAAATTCTGTGGTTGGCCATCAAGCAATGTGATTTAATGATGATCTACGTCAGTCTCCTTGTCAGAGTCAAAATCATTGAGTCTACGAGGCAGGAGACTCATGCACGCATGCGTATCTCGTTCCAGGAAAATGAGGACAAGGCGGGAACTGGAGCCTAAGAGGCCCAAGCCAGCAACCCCTTCTGCCTTGGGCCCAAACAGCAACAGCAGCCAACACCCCGCAGCCGTGACCTTCAGTCCTGTTGATGTCCACATGGAGACTCGGTGACCCCCACCCTGGTGCTGTCTTGGCCACCATCTGAAGAGCCTTCTCCAGTCAAGACCCAGAAGCACATTTCTCCTCTGGCAGCTTCATTATGAGTTCCTTCCCACCGACAGGGGTGTCTCTTATACAATTCCTGACGCTTCAGGCAACCCTTAACCCTGTCCCCCCTGCCCCTCCCTAGCTATGTCCATATCCCTGTTGCCCCCCTTCCAAAAAGCTGTGGAACATTCTTTTGTGATCTGATGAGGCAGACCCATGTTGGGAATCCACTGAAATGGATGTGGCTGTCTTCCCCAAACACAGTTGCTAGACAGACAGACAGACAGACAGTGCAGGAGTCTTCTAGTCAGGAGGCGGGGGTGAGGGTCTGCCACTGGGGTCATCTCAGAATAAGTACTGTCTACATTCACAGCTTTACAAAGTATTCAGTCCCATTAATCAGGCACAGGGGAACTAACTTGTTAACTTAGGCTGACGTCAACTTGGGCAAACTAACCAGTAAACCAACTTGTTAATTGATAACTTGTTTCATCATAGATGATTGCCAGCTAGCTCATGACAGCCGCTCTGCACGTTTCTCCGTCTTTAAGAAAGGTTATGGGGAAAACCAAATTCTTCTTGAAAGGTCTCTACTTCATGTGTAAAGAGTCTGAGAAGGACTAGAGTGACCTTGAGGAATGATGGCCTCTAAGACAAAAGCTTATTGCAGGGTCCCTGGGCCTTGAATGAGTCTCGGGCTAGCCAGAGGGCCCCTCTTCTCCCTTTGGGGCTGGGGTAAGCCTGACTCAGTCTCATTTCCCAGCTCTCCTCTATTTGGATTCCTGGCAATCCTCTCTCTCCAGGTAAACCTTCCCTCCAAGGACCAGTATTAGAGACTGGTTAAGATTACAACCCTGTGTACGTTACCTACGCCCTTCCCGGTCACCTTCCTGGTCACCTTACAGAGATTCAGGGCACATTCAAAGTAACACATTTGCAAACCATGTTTCTGTACAGAGCTGATCTCTTCAACTCCTTAGCCTGGAGAACAATGTGTTGAGACGGGAGAGCATTTTTGAAATTAAGAAGACTTGTCTTCCAAGACCCACCCCCTGGTCATGTGGCCTTGGAAGAGACTTGAGCACTCACTCCATAGTGGGTTTGCCAACCACAGGGTGGGAGTGATGATCTCTGCCTCACAGGGTTATTATAATTAGCCAAGGACTTAGTGAAGCAACTCGGGGAGTGTCTGGCACCCAGTAGACGCTTAATAAATGAGAGTCAGTGTTATTACAGTATTTCTTCAATTACAATACATCTATTCACACGTTAATGATTCTGAAATCAGAATATGTCTTTAAATTGTTGGGTGCATTAATGTAGTTGTATTTTTTCTCTCTCAAAAAGCTGTTTTTTATACAATTGAAGGCATCTTGGAAGCAAGGTAATAAATCCTTATCCTGTTATAGAAAGTGACATGCGCTGACCTTTAACCTCAAATTCTAGGAGTCTCTTCCTCTCGGAGTCAGAAATCTCTTCTGAGGGGAAATTGAGGGTCAGGAAGGTAAAGAAGACTGACTCGGGGTCACAGAGTCATGCCATCCCACTATAAAAATGCTCGCTTGAATACGTCTGGAAAAATACTTGCAAATTCTTCCTCCTCAAACAACATCTGCCCCTACTGTGTTTAAATATCCACCAAGTACCAAGTACTTGGCAAGATGCTTACACATAAATTGTCCCATAGGATTTATTTTTCCTAATAACCCTGGGAGGCATTATTTTTTTCTGTTTGCAGGTGACAATTGCAAACTCAGAGAGAAAGGTACTGGCCCAAAGTCCCACAGCTAGTAAGGTGCAAAGACAAGACTCAGACCCATGTCTCTTTGACTCCAAAGTGCCTCTCTCTCTTTTGTTCCAAATTCTTCTGTAACCTCCCAGCTCAAAACACAGAAGTATGGGGCGAACAAGAGGAGGACAGGGGTCCATGTGTCTGAGCGGAAGTCAGGAATCTAGCTTCGAAACTAACAGTGGGGGCAAAGCCACTCTGGTAGCCTCCTTTGAGTTTCCATGATTGGAGCCAAAGGACCACTCTCTAAACCCATCGAAGCTCCAAGGATTCCCATTTCACTTCTCCTACCACTTTGTCCAAGAAGCAAGGAGTGGAATGGTATCCAACCAGGACAAAGCCATTTCCTTAAGGACTCAAATAGATAGGTTTCCCAAAGATATTCTGCTTTAAAAAAAATGTTTGGAATGTTCCAGCCCTAAACCAAACTCTTCTGTCCACAGTGAAATCTTCTTGGAATTACTAGACGAATTATCTTCTGGTATATGTTGTTCTGCTAAATGAAAGCTTGGAGATGGAGGAGGGGGGAGAGGTAAGAGGGAGGCCAAGGAAAGGGTTTTAGTGTTTTGTTTTTAACTAATGAAGATAACTCAATAATCCTTTAAGGGCCCCTATGTGCAAGTTGAGGTGCTACTAAACACATTAAGTCATGGTCCTCACTTTCAAAGAGTCTGCCACTGGTCTCCTGAGATGGGGATCTCACAACACAGTGGAGTATTTCATTTCTGACAGGTGCCTCTCCTAACTGAGCAGATGCTGCCTTATTGGGCCACTGAGTCAATAAAAGATTTTAAACATCTAAAGAAAAATGTCTAAAAATAAAGAGGTTTAAATCAACCATTCCTTGAGTTGACTTCAATTACATTTAGAGTTAACAAATACCTTTCCTAAGAACTTCCTTTCCCTGACACTGTAAGTAAGGTCCTGTGGGAAAGCCTGAGCTGTTTCAAACTGGGCCATTGCTTCTCGAGGCTCCAGACTCTGAGCTGGATGTCAGCATAGAGCCCGATGCAGGGCTCAAACCCACGAATCGTGAGACCATGACCTGAGCCAAAGTCGGACGCTTAACGGACTGAGCCACCAGGTGCCCCATGAATCCCATTTCAAAGCCTGCTGTTAAACACAAGACAAACTGAGATGTCAAAGTTTGAGGACCCCTGAGAGAGAAAGAGACATCAGAATGCAACCCAAGTCCTCAGTAATGATGTTTGCCATTAACTAAGCTCCTACCTAATGTGTTCCAGATATATGAGTATATATATAACGTATATATTGTACATATAGGCCTTTTATATCCACCAGCTCCTCTCAACACTACCATTCGCATGCATAGGCGCCATCATTAGTTCTATTTTCTGGATAAGGAAATGGGAGATAGCTTGTCATTGGGTGATACAGTGGACATGTGTCATTTTTTTGGTGGCCATTCTTGCGTTTGGGGAGTCTGCTGCTTTAAGAGGCAAGAACACCTCCTGCTAAAGCTGAAAAGGACAGACCCTCATTTTCCCAGAGTCCCTTGCTGCTAGGGCAAGGGCACAGCGCCTAGGCCTTGCCAATTGGGCACTCCTGCTGTGGACTTTGAATCAAGAAGCTGGTATGCTATGGGCTGGTGTGTTGGCACGCAGCCTTGCAAGAGGTGCCACGTCAGGGTCCCAGCAGCCACGGCAGCCTCATTCTTGAGTCTAGGCCAGTGTCCATGGACTTGGCTATGTGAGCTTAGCGTAACAGCAGCAGCCATGGTGTCTGTACCAAACTAGTTCTTTAGTATGATGTTAGGCACCCTACCTGACCGCATACCACTGAAGGGTCTAGCCTTCTGGAAATCCCAGCAACTTCCTCATCCCCTCCTCTGCTTAAATGGGCAGTCACTTCCAGCTGCTAGTACTGAAGTAAACTGTGTGGCTGTAAGGGACTTGCTCATAGCCACCTACCTCGGAAGTGGCTGGCACCAGGACCCGGTCTTCAGAGCTCTCGCTCTTTCCTTACACAAGCTTCCAGCTGAGGCTACGTGATCAAGGGATCCACAAAGTGCTATGGAATTGTAGAGAAGGTAGAGTTGCCTCCAATTACATGTATCTCAGAGACTTTGTGAATATTAATGAGGAAATATATTAAAAAGACCTGGAAGAATGGGTAGAATTTTTAAAATTTTTTTTATATTTAACATTTATTTATTTTCAAGAGACAGAGACAGAGCATGAGCAGGGGCGGGGTAGAGAAAGAGGGAGAAACAGGCTCTGAAGCAGGCTCCAGGCTCTGAGCTGTCACCACAGAGCCCGATACAGGGCTCGAACCCACGAACCGCAAGATCATGACCTGAACCAAAGTCAGACACTTAGCTAATTAAGCCACCCAGGTGGCCCTTTTTATTTTATTATTTTTTTAATGTTTATCGTTGAGGGAGAGAGACAGAGACAGAGCAGGAGCAGGGGAGAGGCAGAGAGAGAGGGAGACACAGAATCTGAAGCAGGCTGAACTGTCAGCAGAGCTCAGCGTGGGGCTTGAACTCACATGCTGTGAGATCATGACCTGAGTGGAAGTCGGACACCTAACCGACTGAGCCACCCAGGCACCTTGACATTTCATTTCTCTTGGGCATTTGCCTTAGCAGTGGAATTGCTGCATTATGTGATAACTCTGTTTAATCTTTTAAGAAAATGCCAAACTCTTTTTTGAAGTGACTGCACCATTTTACATTTCCACCAGCAATGTAGGAGGGTTCCGACAGCTCCACATCCTTGCTAACATTTTATTATCCATCTTTTTTTTTTTTTTTAATCACAGCCTTACTTGTGGTTATGGAATGGTATCTCATTATGATTTCAATTTGAATTTCCCTAATGACTGACAATGCTCAGTGTCTTTTCATATGCACATTGGCCATTTTATATCACTTTTGAAGAAATGCTTAGTCAAACCCTTTGCCCATTTTTAACTTGGGTATTTGAGGTTTTTAAATTAATGTTATTGACCTGTAAGAATTCTTTAGTATTCTGGTTACAAATCCCTTACCAGATGTATGATATACATCTGCCATTCTGTGGGTTGCCTTTTCACTTTCTTTAACTTTCACCTTTGCAGCACAAAAGTTTTTCATTTTGATAAAACTCAAGTTCTTTTTCTTTTGTCACTTGTGCTTTTGGCATTATATTTAAGAAACCATTGCCTAATCCAAGGTCACGGATATTTACTCCTACATTTTCTTACAAGAGTTTTATGGTTTTAGTTCTTACATTTATGTATATGACCCAGTTTGAATTAATTTTTGTATATGGTGTGAGATAGGTATTCAATTTCTTCTTTTGCTCGTGGATATCCAATTGTCCCAACACTATTTGTTGAAAAGACTATTTTAGCCCCATTTAATTGACTTGGAATCCTTATCAATGCTTAACTGACCATAAATACAAGGATTTATTTCTGGACTCTGAATTCTGTTTCATTGATCTTTATTTCCATTCTTATGCCAGTCCCACATTGTCTTGATATGTAGCAAGTTTTGGAATCTGGAAGTGTGAGTCCTCCAACTTACTTTTTTCTTGTCCAAGATATTTTGGCTATTTTTTTTTTCTTGCTCAAGGTATTTTGGCTATTCTGGGTCCCTTATATCTCTACGTGAATTTTAGTATTAGCTTGTCAATTTTTCAAAAATGGCAGCTGCATTGAGCTCGTAGATCATTTTGGGGAGTATTGCCATCTTAATCATATTAAATCTGATCCATAAACATGGAATGCTTTTCCATTTATTTTGGTCTTCTTTAAATTTTTTCAATGGAATTTGTAGTTTTCGTTGTATAAGTCTTGCATCCATTTTGTTAAATTTATCCTAATGTTTTATTCTTTTTGATGCTATTGTAAGTGAAATTGCTTTCTTAATTTCCTTTTTAAGTTGTTAATTGCCAGTGTATATAGAAATCCAACTGATTTTTGTGTGTTAACTTCATATCCTGCAACTTTGCTGAATTTGTTTGTTAGCTCTGATAGTTTTTTGTGTAGTACCTTTAGGGTTTCTACATATAAGCTCAGGCCATTGTGAATAGAGACCATTTCACTTCTTCCTTTACAATTTGGATACTTTTTAACTCTTGTTCTTGCCTAACTGCTCTGGAAAAGCAGAAGTTAAAACTTCCAGTACAATTTTGAATATAGGTATTAGGAGCAGATATCTTTGTCTTCTTCCTGGTCTCGGGGGAAAACAGCCGGCCTTTCACCATTAAGTGTGATGTTAGCTGTGTTCATAGATGGCCTTTGTTACACTGAGGAAATTTACTCATATTCCTAGCTTAAGGGTTTTTATCAGGAAAGGGGGTTGAATTTTGTCAAATGATTTTCAGTATCTATAAGATGATTATATTGTTTTTGTCCTGTATTAATATGGTATATATACTGCATTAATGGATTTTCATATGTTAAACCAAACTCTCATTGCTGGAATAAATTTCAATCCTGGCATAAGATCCTTTTTATACATTGCTAGATCCTTTTTGTAGTATTTTGTTGAGAATTTTCTTTTAATTTTTTTAATGTTTATTTATTTTTGAGAGAGAAACCATGAGTGGGAGAAGGGCAGAGAGAGACAGAGGGAGACACAGAATCTGAAGGAGGCTCCAGGCTCTGAGCTGTCAGCACAGAGCCCAACGCAGGGCTCGAACCCACGAACTGTGAGATCATGACCTCAGCCGAAGTCGGACGCTCAACCGACTGAGCCACTCAGGCACCCTGAGAATTATTGCATCTATATTCTAAGAGATATTGTCTATAATTTTCTTCTGGTGTCTTTGTTTTAGTATCAGAGTAACACTGGCCTCAGAGAACGAGCTGACAATGTTTCCTTTTCTATTTTTTGAAAGGATTGATGTTAATTGTTTAGACATTTGGTGGAATTTACCAGGAAGGCCATCCAATTATTTGGGTCTGGGCTTTTCTTTGTTGGAAGTTTTTGCTGTTGTTTTTTTAATTACTATTACTAATTCAATCACTTTACTTGTAGATCTATTCAGATTTTCTATTTCTTCTTCAGTCAGCTTGGCAACTTGTGTCTTTTTAGGAATTTGTCCATTCCATCCAGGTTAGCTAGTTTGTTGGGATACAATTTTTTATAGTATCATAATTCTTTTTATTTCTGAAAGATCAATAGTGATGTTTCCTCTTTCATTTCTGATTTTAGTCATTTGAGTCTTTTCTTCCTTTTTTTTCCCCCTTGGTCAGTTCATCTAAAGGTTTGTCCATTTTATCGATTATTATAAAGAACTGACTTTTGGTTTTGTTGATTGTCTCTCTATTATTTCTCAATTGTGTCTGTCTTTCTAAATCTATTAATGGTGTGTTTTAATGAAAATGAGTTTTTAACCTGAATGGTAATTTACCAACGTTTTCCTTTATAATTAGTACTTTTTGTATCCTGTTTAAGAAATTTGCCTACCTAAAGGTTTTGAAATTTTTTCTCATGTGTTTTCTTCCAAAAGTCTTAGTCCTTTACTTTTCCCATTTAAATATACAGTCCATCTGAAATTGATTTTGGGGTGTGTGCAAGGTAAGGTCAAGACTCACTCCTTTCATGTAGAATCCTATGGACCCAGAACGATTTTTTGAAAAGACCATTCTTCTTTCCCCGCCCTCACTGCAGTATCAACTTTCTCATGAATCAAGTAACTGAGTGCATGTGGTTTGGGTAGAAATTTTACGGACAGGAATGGTTAGGTGGGGGAAAGAAAGGCAAGAGTAAAACATGGAAGTAAAGGAAGACCGTTGAGTTCACTTGCTCTTTCTTGCTTGCTCACATTCATGAGATCCAGCGGTAAGCAAGACAGATACGGTTCC